AAATACAGAAGGGAAATGTTTTAACTCTTTTTGAATAAATTTCTGTATACAAGGTCTGCTCATAAATTATCGGAACTGGTGCTATAAAAAGAAAAATACAGGACATAGAAATTCATCATTTAATCTCCTTCGAAGTAGTATCCTTTTGAATTCACATACTTTATCCAGCGTCGTTTCTATTGATGGAAGCATTTCTGAAATTCCTTTTTTGGAATAGCCAGCAGTTGCCTCGTCGCATTCTCTCTGGTTTCCTCGACGCCTTCAAATCTTGTTCCTTTCAGGTGTGATTTGACTTTTGAAGAAGAAAAAAAATCACAAGGGGCGAATATGGTGGTTGTCGGACATAGGTAATGATGTACTGGGCCAAAAAAAAAAAAATGCTGTACAAGCCATGGTCACTGATGGAACTTCTGCGGTCTGGTGAGACGTCCACCTCTACACACTTTTCCTCACGTAGCATCACTATGAACCGAGATAGTGAATAGTGACCGAGAACGTTATATCTTAATGTGTATGTGCGACAGAGTTCAAGGTCAATTTATGCTAAACGGCTACACTCAACATACGTTAGATCCGTTTCCATAGCAACAAACCCAATACTTTTTTTATCAGACCTCGTATTTACAGCTTCTAAGTTTCTGGAGGGAGTGGCTTGGGAAAAGAGGGTGTGGCTCTTGGAGCACAATCCCTTGTGTTTCGTATACGTGGATGAGTATCACCGCGGAATTTAGTGAGTAGCGGCGCTATATCGAGTCTAGTCAGTCTCATCTTCGTCATTGAGGCCCGTTGGTGTAGTGGTATGTCGCGGTTCGCATTCGATTCTCGTTAGTGGATGCGCAATGCTGATGAGTCCCAAATAGGACGAAACGGCCATACAGTGCTTTCTGCATTCTATACGATGAATTACTGTAAAGGCACTTGGGAGTGCTTTGCCTAGACTTCTGACAGTTGCCGTTGGTTTAAATTTTTCGGGTCGACCAATCGCCTTAACACCTCAACAATCCTTCACCAAACTGCTATCAAGAAGTAATATTGTATTACGCTGTCACCCTTTTTCCTTTCCTATCTTTGATTTACCCTTCTCCGTCTCCTCTTAAAATGTTTCTTCCAATGATTTTTTAAACAAACAGAAAAAGGAAGTGACATCAGACGAGCGGCCTGCTTACAAACAGAATTGTTCATAACCATTTTTTGTTCTCACCAGTCGAGGTGCAAATAAATGCAACGAAACAAGGCTGCAACTTTGTAGTGAGTAAATTGTTTTTGTCTATATAAAACAATTATAATAAATAAATATATCGTTTGGTAGATAGATAAGTATGCAAATATATATATTTATGTGCTTAATATTTTTATAAGTATATATTTCTCTGTGCGTGTGTTTGCGCAATCATATTAATGTACTTCGATAAGGCCAAGGATTTGTTTCAGCCAAATCCAGGGACATTTCAAAGGAATTTAGTTTCCAGTATCTATTATTACTGCTAATAACTAGAAATTGATATCGTCATCCAAAGAGAACGACCGTGAAACACGTCGGCCATTGGCGTCCCTCAACAACATTTACTCAAATGAAAATACAGTATAATGTTCGCAATTGTAGAGAGAAAAATAATCGATTGAAAAAGAACCTATTAATAAAGTGTTTTAATTCATAAAATCATTGGCTTTTCTCTCGATGTCTTTCCTATTAAACTGCATACGTTATCCGTTTCTCTATATTTTTTGTGTGTAAAGCAAAAAGCAAACAAACTTGCTTTCTTTTCTTTCAATATCTTTTGGTACCTTGCCATGAATTAGGGCTTATCAAGCTTTCTGATTGTAGGTGCGGGTGGTGTAATATATAGCGACTCGGAATAAGAAATCGTTGACACAAGTTCGAATTCTAATCGTGTTTGTTACATTCACTCAAGCGCACAAACATCTTTGAGAACGGTAGGAATCCATTTCCCTCCCCAAGATATGGGTTGAATAGTAGGGTGTGTATCTGGAAAAATAGCTGTTATCCTCAAAAAATAGTTAATGAAATATCCACTAGCAAACAGAATTATTGCTACAATCCAAAATATGTTTAGGCTTTACATAACACATAAAAAGGTTGATAAACCGTAAAAAAACAAATCAAACTATTGTAGTGAATTCATTGCATCAGAAAAATTGAATAAAACTTATAAAACATTTCATGTCCTTCACATTCGACTAAACATGCAGAAAAGGATATATATATATATATATATATATATATATATATATATATATATATGGAAAGAGAGAGAAAGAAAGAGAGAGAGAAAGAGATTTATAAACAAATTTGATTAAAAGAACAGAACGCCCTGTCTAAATTTTAATTTTAAACTGATAAACTTTGTCAGTTCTTTTCTAATCAAAAGTTGTTTGTTGCTTAAATATACCTTTATATATATATATATATATATATATATATATATATATATATATATATATATATATATATATATATCACGATATGCTGTAAGATTATATAATATCGCGAAAGTAGTATTAATAACATTGGATTGTACAGAGATGATGGTTTTATGGTTATAAAAATTCTACAAACTTTAAAATTGATAAAATTGGAAGACTATTATACAGGGTATTTAAATGCTTGAACTTGAAAATTACCGTAAGTACTAAATTGATAAACGTGAACTTCCTTGATATAATATTAGATTTAATTAATAATATATACCTACCTTACAAGAAGGCCAATATTAATCCATTGTATATACACCCTAAGTCAAATCATCCTCCATCGATAATTAATCATATACCTTTATCTATCGAAAAGAGAATAAGTACAAATTCAAAAACACATGCGAATAATAGTATTCGCATGTGTTTTTGAACATAAAAATATAGGTCTTTGCTAAATTAGATAATCGTTATATTTATCCTTTATATGTTTATATTTGATTTCTAACCTGTAGTCGATATTAATTTTGTCAAATTTTCTCAATTACATAGCGACCCTTTCAGTAAATGTCCTTCAATTTTAGTTTCTTTTTCTCTCACACCCTCTTCTTTTGATCTTTAACATTAGATCGTCTATGGTGTGTGTATGTCACCACGAAATGTATCTTTTTAATGTATTAAGACATCCGACAACAATCATATTTCCCCTTCCACTCACCTCTATTTAAAAAAAAAACAACCTCTCTGTTAAGTCTTAATTTCCCACCTTCTCTCATCTGTTACCCTCTTTTAACTCTCTAACATTCGTCCCACACTTTCTCATACTTCACCTCTCTAAATTCTATTTTTATTTCCGGAGTTGTTTTTTCTGTTTTCTTTTTTTGAATTTGTAGGTCTGATGAATTGGATCGTATTTACGATTCCAATGGAAAAATTATAACCATGGAATATTAGTGTTTAAGCCTTTTTATTATATCCTTACTCTGTCCTGGACATTGAGTTCTACCTGGATTCTATCCTCTCGGAATTTTTATTCAAAAAAATATACATGTATGTGTATGCACCTATGTATATATATTTATATATTTTGCATATATATATATATATATATATATATATATATATATATATATATATATATATATAATCAAATATGTGGTGCAGTTCAATTTATATTATTAATGAATCATTCATACAAAAGTAGATTAGTAAAATCTAAATTACTAATCTACTTTTTTTGTATGATTGATTATTGTAATATATATATATATATATATATATATATATATTACCACATTATCTTTATTAAGTCTTATCAATTGCTAGGCCGTTAGATGTAATATATGCACTGTTTGGAAATAAATACACGTTTATTTTAAAACACGGGTATCTAACGAAACACTAAAACAACGTTTAAAGTAATAAAACTGTCGGATTCTTTAGAAATATACATACATACATATATATATATATATATATATATATATATATATATATATATATATATATATATATATATATATATATAATTTTTAATTATATTTATTTAAATTTATTATTTTGATGGATACCCATATTCGAGTAGTTGTAATGTTTTTTTTTTTATTAAACGGTATTTTTTTTATCCAACTGTTTCTACCGGCCGGAATATTCGAGAAATCTTTTTAGAAAAATATGCATCCTCCGGCAGGATTCGAACCGGCATTCCCTATGAGCTACCGCCATCTGACTAGACTGACCGTTTGACTCCGGTCAAGTAACGCTCGAATAGTCTCTTTTGGACACAAACTTCTCTGCTGTTTCTCGAAGCATCCATATCTGTTCTGTATCGTATCTTAACGTAAACGAAGACAATTTATTTTTAGGAGATGGTTTAAATCCGTCATGTTTTTATTTTTAATATGTATTTTTCCGGGGACGCATATTTTTCTGACAAGATTTCTCGAATATTCAGGCCGGTAGATGTAGTTGAATAAAAAATGCATAGGTGACCACTTGTAAACTATGGTTTATGTTACAACTATACTGAGAAGACCTTATAGCGAGTTATCTAGCGTGAACAACAATTTGAAAAAGGCCAGCAAGCTCAAGCCCTCGGCCACGATGACTGGTCAATTTAAGTCACAAGACTTGGGTCAACCCATGGTATGTTTTTTTTTTCGAAGGTGCCGATAAATGTCAGGGAGTATCCTTCAAAAGTCTTCGGACAAGTCGACCATGGTGAGATTCGAACCTGGGTCTCATGGTCAGAATGCGAACGCTCTAACCACTCGGCCACGTGCCCATTGGGTAATGCAGTTGTAATTAATAAAGAGAGCTTCTATTTTCGAATATGAATATCCATACAAAATAGCGTTTAAAGAAAAATGAATTAAAACTAACAATATGTCGGATATATATATATATATATATATATATATATATATATATATATATATATATATATATATATATATATATATATATATATATATATATATATATGTGTTAATTCCTCACTGTTTCTTTCTTTCAAGCTCTCTCTCTCTCTCCATTTCGTGATAATTTATTAGGGTGGTTGTAGAACG